TCTAAGCCCATTGTTCCCGGCATTTTTGTTGACTTTTACAACCCATGGCTTACGGGGGGAAAGATAAAAATAAATTATAAAATAATAATAATAATAATATTAAAAATAATAATAAAATTTAAATATTAAAAATTATAAATTTTAAAATTTTAAAAAATAATAATTATAAAATAATAATAATAATTATTTAATAATAATAAAAATTTTTAATTTTAATAATAAAATAATAAAGTTACCGGGTCGTTGATAAAAAATAAAAAAAATAAAAATAAAATAATTATTATTATAATAATGTTACGGGTCCCTTGATAAAAATAAAAATAATAAAATAATAATAATAATTTAAAAATAATAAAAATAATAAAACAATAATAACAATAATTTTTAAAAAATAATAAATTTTAAAAAAAAATGATGTTTTTCAGGGCTTGGGAAAAAAAAAATAAAAAAATAATATTAAAAATAATAATAATAAAAATAATAATAATAAAAATTTTTAAAAATTAAAAAATAATATAAATAATAATAATAAAAATAAAAATAATTTAAAAATAATAATTAAAATTTTAAAAATAATAAAAAATAAAATAATAATAATAAAAAAATAATTAAAAATAATAATAATAATAATAATAATAATTTACAGGGTCGTTGATAATAATTTTAAAAAAAAAAATAATTTAAAAAAAATAATAATAAAATTAAAAATAATAATAATAAATAAAAATAAAAAAATAATTAAAAATAAAAATTATAACAATAATAAAAAAAATTATTATAATAATTAAAAATAATAAAATAATTAAAAATAATAAAAATGTTACAGGGTCGTTTATAAAAAATAAAAAAAAATAAAAATTTTAAAAAAATTATTTTTTTAAAAAATGTTACAGGGTCGTTTTATAATAAAAATAAAAAATTAAAAATAATAATTAAAAATAAAACAATAATAATAATAAAAATAATAATAATGTTTTCAGGGTCGTTGATTTCAAAATAAAAATTTAAAAACCCAAAAATAATAATAATAAAAAAAAATTTTTCAGGGTCTTTATAAAAAGGGAAAATTTTAATAATAATAATAATAATAATTAATAATTAATAATAATAATAATAATTTACAGGGTCTTGATAAGTAATAATAATAATAATAATAAATAATAATAATAATAATAATAATGTTACAGGGTCGTTGATACAAAGTATATTAATAATAATAAGTAATAATTACTAATAATAATAATTAATAAAATAATAAAAACATAATATAATAATAATAATAATGTTTTACAGGTCGTGATACTAATGTATAACCTGGTATACTAGATTAGTACTAGATGAATAGTAATTTGTAGTACATGTGTAGTACCTGTGTAGTACATGTGTTAGTACTTGTAGTACCTGTGAAATACACTTTGTATACTGTTAGTACCTTTGTACAGGTGTATACAGTTATACCTGTGTTAGTTACCTTTGTAGTACCTGTGTAGTAACCTTTGTAGTACCTAATGTAGTACCTGTGTATAGACCTTTTATACCTGTGTAGACCTTTGATACATGTGTAATAACTAAGTGTATTACTTATGTATACCATTATAGTAACTTGTAAGTACATGGTCGTGATACTTTTTAGTACTTATTAGTACTTTAGTACAGTGTAGTACTATGTAGTACCTGTGTAGTACCTTTGTAGGTACCATGTGTAGTACATGTGTATAACCTTTTTAAGTACCTGTGTAGTACTTTGTAGTACCTGTGTATACCTTTGTTAGTACCTAGAAGTACCTGTGTGTACATTGTAGTACCTGGTGTACTTTGTAGTACCTGTGTATACCTGTGTAGTACATTGTAGTACCTTTAGTAGTACCTGTGTAGTACCTTTTGTAGTACTGTGTAGTACCTGTGTATACCTGTGTAGTACCTGTTAGTACCTTGTAAGTACCTTGTAGTACCTGTGTAGTACCTTTGTAGTACTTTGTAGTACCTGTGTAGTCCTGTGTAGTACCTTGTGTAGTACCTTTGTAGTACCTGTGTAGTACCTGTGTAGTACCTGTGTAGTACCTTTGTAGTACCTGTGTAGTACCTGTGTAGTACCTGTGTAGTACCTTTGTAGTACCTGTGTAGTACCTGTGTAGTACCTGTGTAGTACCTGTGTAGTACCTTTGTAGTACCTGTGTAGTACCTGTGTAGTACCTGTGTAGTACCTGTGTAGTAACCTTTGTAAGTACCTGTGTATACCTTTGTAGTACCTGTGTAGTACCTGTGTAGTACCTGTGTACGTACCTTTGTTAGTATCCTGTGTGTACCTGTGTAGTACCTTTGTAGTACCTGTGTAGTACCTGTGTAGTACCTGTGTAGTACCTGTGTAGTACCTGTGTAGTACCTTTGTAGTACCTGTGTAGTACCTTTGTAGTACCTGTGTAGTACCTGACTGTTAGTCCTGTGTAGTACCTGTGTAGTACCTTGTAGTACCTGTGTAGTACCTTGTGTAGTACCTGTGTAGCACCTGTTGTAGTACTCTTGTAGTACCTGTGATACTTAGTACCTGTGTAGTATGTTTGTAGGACCTGTGTAGTACCTTTGTAGTACCTGTGCAGTACCTGTGTAGTACCTGTGTAGTACCTTTGTAGTACCTGTGTACTACCTTTGTAGTACCTGTGTAGTACCTGTGCAGTGCCTGTGTAGTACCTGTGTAGTACCTGTGTAGTACCTGTGTAGTACCTTTGTAGTACCTGTGTAGTACCTGTGTAGTACTCTTGTAGTACCTCGTTGTAGTACCTGTGTAGTACCTTTGTAGTACCTGTGTAGTACCTGTGAGTCCTGCGTAGTAACCTTTGTAGTACCTGTGTATACCTTTGTAGTACTGTGTAGTACCTGTGTAGTACCTGTATAGTACCTGTGCAGTACCTGTGTAGTACCTTTGTAGTACCTATGTAGTACCTGTGTAGTACCTTTGTAATACCTGTGTAGTGCCTGTGTAGTGCCTCTATAGTACCTGTGTAGTACCTTTGTAGTACCTTTGTAGTCCTGTGTAGTACCTCTGTAGTACCTGTGTAGTACCTGTGTAGTACCTTTGTAGTACCTGTGTAGTACCTGTGTAGTACCTTTGTAGTACCTGTGTAGTACCTTTGTAGTACCTGTGTAGTACCTGTGTAGTACCTTTGTAGTACCTGTGCAGTACCTGTGTAGTAACTTTGTAGTACCTTTGTAGTACCTGTGTAGTGCCTGTGTAGTACCTGTGTAGTACCTTTGTAGTACGTGAGTGTAGTTACCTGTGTATTCCTGTATAGTACCTTTGTAGTACATGTGTACTACCTGTGTAGTACTTGTGTAGTACCTGTGTAGTGCCTGTGTAGTACCTTTGTAGTCCCTGTGTAGTACCTGTGTAGTACCTGTGTAGTACCTTTGTAGAACCTTTGTAGTACATGTGTACTACCTGTGTAGTACCTGTGTAGTACCTGTGTAGTGCCTGTGTAGTACCTTTGTAGTACCTGTGTAGTCCCTGTGTAGTGCCTGTTTAGTACCTGTGTAGTACCTGTGTAGTACCTTTGTAGTACATATGTACTACCTGTGTAGTACCTGTGTAGTGCCTCTGTAGTACCTGTGTAGTTCCTGTGTAGTACCTTTGTAGTACCTGTGTAGTACATGTGTGCTACCTGTGTAGTACCTGTGTAGTACCTTTGTAAAACCTTTGTAGTACCTGTGTAGTGCCTGTGTAGTACCTGTGTAGTACCTTTGTAGTACCTGTGTAGTACCTGTGTAGTACCTGTGTAGTGCCTATGTAGTTCCTGTGTAGTACCTTTGTAGTACCTGTGTAGTACCTGTGTAGTACCTTTGTAGTACCTGTGTAGTACCTGTGTAGTACCTTTGTAGTACCTGTGTAGTGCCTGTGTAGTACCTGTGTAGTACTTTTGTAGTACCTGTGTAGTACCTGTGTAGTACCTTTGTAATCCCTGTGTAGTACCTGTGTACTACCTGTGTAGTGCTGTGTAGTACCTGTGTAGTACCTGTGTAGTACCTTTGTAGTACCTGTGTAGTACATGTGCAGTACCTATGTACTAAATGTGTAGTACCTGTGTAGTACCTGTGTAGTGCCTGTGTAGTACCTGTGTAGTGTCTTTGTAGTACCTTTGTAGTACCTGTGTAGCACCTTTGTAGTACATGTGTAGTACCTGTGTAGTACCTGTGTAGTACCTTTGTAGTACCTGTGTAGTGCATGTGTAGAACCTATGTACTAACTGTGTAGTACCTGTGTAGTACATGTATAGTTCCTGTGTAGTACCTGTAGAGTGTCTTTGTAGTACCTTTGTAGTACAATTGTAGTAGCTGTGTAGTACCTTTGTATTATATTTGTAGTACCTTTGTAGTACCTGTGTAGTACCTATGTAATACCTGTGTAGTGTTTCTGCTGTGCCTGTGTTGATAAGTACCAGTGTAGTACCTCTGTAGCACCTGCGTAGCACCTTTGTAGCACATCTGTAGCCTATTTTTAGCACCTGTGGGTTACCTGTGCATCACTGTGTACCTCATGTGTAGCACCTGTGTAGCACCTCTGTAGCATCTTTTCAAGGTACCTAATTTCAGTCTTTAAATTACCTAATTATTGTTAATACCTAATTATTATTAATTAAGTGCTGGTGTTATCGGTTAATTAGGATCTGTTACGTGTTATACAATATAACTAATTATTTAATATTAGTAAGTAGGTACTGTTATTGTGTTCCCTGGTACCTAATTAATCTGTTACCCCTCTTTGGTAATCAGGAGTCATTATGTTCCCGGGTCACCTAATTAACAATGATATAGTCCCCTTCTGATCCCCAGAAATCACCTTATTAATTTTTTACAGTACCTTAGTACTAAATATGTACCACTATTTAGTACTAAGGTACTTAGTACTAAATAGGTACTACTATGTCCCCAGGAATGTTTTGATTTGCGTTTAACAGTTCCAAATTACTAATTAGATTCCATATGTTCCTAGAAATTACCTGATTTACGTTTAACAGTACCTAAATTGTAATTAGGTACCACTATGTCCCCAGCAATCACTTGATCGTGGCCACGAGGACGTCAGGTGGTAAACTGCACCTAGTCCCGGGTGTAGGTAAGGTGCCTCTGAACGACGCTACGCTGATTGAGGATCCTAACGACCTGGGTAATCAGGAAGACGATGGTGGTAAGTTTGGCTCCTACCTCGGTAATTAGGTGCCCTGGTGGTGATTAATTAACTAGTAAGATGGTAACTAGGGACTTGATGTACATAATTAACTAGTGAAAATTTAAATAGTTACCATGGTGATTAATTAACTATTAGACAGTAATTAGGCACCCAAGTGGTTAATTAACAATTACGTCAGTAATTATGTGCCCAAGTGGTTAATTAGCTATTACGTCAGTAATTAGGTACCCGAGTGGTTAATAAACTATTAATACAGTAATTAGGTAATCTGTTGGTTAGCTATTAAGACAAAAATAGGTTTCTAATGTTTTTAATGGGTTTCTAATGGGTTTTCTAATGGTTTCCAATGTTTAATGTGTTTCTGATGTTTTTTTGTTGTGGTTTCTAATGTTTTAATAGTTAAGTTTGTGGTTTCTAATGTTTTTTCTAATAGTTATGTTGTGGTTTCTAATGTGTTTTTATAGTTATGTTGTGGTTTTCTAATGTTTTTTAATAGTTATGTTGTGGTTTTCTAATGTTTTTTTATAGTTATGTTGTGGTTTCTAATGTTTTTTTAATAGTTATGTTGTGGTTTCTAATGTTTTTTTAATAGTTATGTTGTGGTTTCTAATGTTTTTTTAATAGTTATGTTGTGGTTTCTAATGTTTTTAATAGTTATGTTTGGTTTCTAAGTATTTTTAATAGTTACGTTGTGGGTTTCTAATGTTTTTATATAGTTATGTTGTGGTTTCTAATGTTTTTTAATAGTTATGTTGTGGTTTCTAATGTTTTATAATAGTTATGTTATGGCTTCTAACGTTTTCTAAATAGTTATGTTGTGGTTTCTAATGTTTTTTAAATAGTTTTGTTGTGGTTTCTAATGTTTTTAATAGATATGTTATGGTTTTCTAATGTTTTTTAATAGTTATGTTATGGTTCTAATGTTTTTTAATAGTTGTGTTGTGGTTTTCTAATGTTTTTTAATAGTTATGTTGTGGTTTCTAATGTTTTTAATAGTTATTGTTGTTGGTTTCTAATGCTTTTTAATAGTTATGTTGTGGTTTCTAATGTTTTTTAATAGTTATGTTGTGGTTTTCTAATGTTTTTTTAATAGTTATGTTATGGTTTCTTATGTTGTGGTTTTAAATGTTTATAGTATGTTGTGGTTTCTAATGTTTTTTAATAGTTATGTTTTGTGGTTTCTAATGTTTTTATAGTTATGTTGTGGTTTCTAATGTTTTTTAATAGTTATGTTGTGGTTTCTAATGTTTTTATAGTTATGTTGTGGCTTCTAATGTTTTTATAGTTACTGTTGTGGTTTCTAATGTTTTTTAATATAGTTATGTTGTGGTTTCTAATGTTTTTTAATAGTTATGTTGTGGTTTCTAATGTTTTTTTAATAGTTATGTTGTGGTTTCTAATGTTTTTTAATAGTTATGTTGTGGTTTCTAATGTTTTTTAAATAGTTATGTTGTGGTTTCTAATGTTTTTTAATAGTTATGTTATGGTTTCTAATGTTTTTTAAATAGTTATGTTGTGGTTTCTAATGTTTTTATAGTTATGTTGTGATTTCTAATGTTTTTTAATAGTTATGTTGTGGTTTCTAATGTTTTTTAATAGTTATGTTATGGTTTCTAATGCTTTTCTAAATAGTTATGTTGTGGTTTCTAATGTTTTTTAAATAGTTTTGTTGTGGTTTCTAATGTTTTTAATAGTTATGTTATGGTTTCTAATGTTTTTTAATAGTTATGTTATGGTTTCTAATGTTTTTTAATAGTTATGTTATGGTTTCTAATGTTTTTATAGTTGTGTTGTGGTTTCTATGTTTTTAATAGTTTATGTTGTGGTTTCTAATGTTTTCAATAGTTATGTTGTGGTTTCTAATGTTTTTTTAATAGTTATGTTATGGTTTCTAATGTTTTTTAAATAGTTATGTTATGGTTTCTAATGTTTTTATAAGGTTATGTTATGGTTTCTAAATGTTTTTTAATAGTTATGTTATGGTTTCTAATGTTTTTTAAATAGTTATGTTATGGTTTCTAATGTTTTTTAAGAGTTATGTTGTGGTTTTTAATGTTTTTTAATAGTTATGTTTGGTTTCTAATGTTTTTTAATATTATGTTATTGGTTTCTAATGTTTTTTAATAGTTATGTTGTGGTTTCTAATGTTTTCTAATAGTTATGTTGTGGTTTCTAATGTTTTTAATAGTTATGTTGTGGTTTCTTTTTTTTAATAGTTATGTTGTGGTTTCTAATGTTTTTAATAGTTATGTTGTGGTTTCTAATGTTTTTTAATAGTTATGTTAGTGGTTTCTAATGTTTTTTAAATAGTTATGTTGTGGTTTCTAAGTTTTTTAATAGTTATGTTATGGTTTCTAATGTTTTTTTAATAGTTATGTTGTGGTTTCTAATGTTCTTTAATAGTTATGTTATGGTTTCTTATGTTTTTTAATAGTTATGTTATGGTTTCTAATGTTTTTTAATAGTTATGTTGTGGTTTCTAATGTTTTTAAATAGTTATGTTGTGGTTTCTAATGTTTTTAATAGTTATGTTATGGTTTCTAATGTTTTTTTATAGTTATGTTGTGGTTTCTAATGTTTTTATAGTTATGTTGTGGTTTCTAATGTTTTTATAGTTATGTTGTGGTTTCTAATGTTTTTATAGTTATGTTGTGTTTCTAATGTTTTTATAGTTATGTTGTGGTTTCTAATGTTTTTATAGTTATGTTGTGGTTTCTAATATTTTTTAATAGTTATGTTGTGGTTTCTAATGTTTTTTAATATTATGTTTGGTTCTAATGTTTTTTAAATAGTTATGTTGTGGTTTCTAATGTTTTTAAATAGTTATGTTGTGGTTTCTAATGTTTTTTAATAGTTATGTTATGGTTTCTAATGTTTTTTAATAGTTATGTGTTGTGGTTTCTAATTGTTTTATAGTTATGTTTGTGGTTTCTAGAATGTTTTTAAATAGTTATGTATGCTTCTAATGTTTTTAATAGTTATGTTGTGGTTTCTAATTTATTTAATAGTTATGTTATGGTTTCTAATGTTTCTTAATAGTTATGTTATGGTTTCTATGTTTTTTAATAGTTATGTTGATGGTTTCTAATGTTTTTTAATAGTTATGTTGTGGTTTCTATGTTTTATAAATAGTTATGTTGTGGTTTCTAAATGTTTTTTAATAGTTATGTTATGGTTTCATAATGTTTTTAATAGTTATGTTGTGGTTTCTAATGTTTTTAATAGTTAAGTTGTGGCTTTCTAATGTTTTAAATAGTTATGTTATGGTTTCTAATGTTTTTTAAAAGTAATTTATGGTTTCTATACGTTTTTTAATAGTTATGTTATGGTTTCTAATGTTTTTTAAATAGTTATGTTGTGGTTTCTAATGTTTTTAAATAGTTATGTTGTGTTCTCTAATGTTTTTTAATATTATGTTAGTAGTTTCTAATGTTTTTAATAGTTATGTTTGGTTCTAATGTTTTTTTAATAGTTATGTTGTGGTTTCTAATGTTTTTAATAGTTATGTTATGGTTCTAGTGTTTTTTAATAGTTATGTTATGGTTTCTATGTTTTTTAATAGTTATGTTATGGTTTCAATGTTATTTAAATAGTTATGTTATGGTTTCTAATGTTTTTAAATAGTTAATGTTATGGTTTCTAATGTTTTTTAAATAGTATGTTGTGGTTTCTAATGTTTTTTAATAGTTATGTTATGGTTTTAATGTTTTAATAGTTATGTTATGGTTTCTAATGTTTTTAAATATTATGATTATGGTTTCTAATGTTTTTTAATAGTTATGTTGTGGTTTCTAATGTTTTTAAATAGTATGTTGCGGTTTCTAATGTTTTTAATAGTTATGTTGTGTTTCTAATGTTTTTTAATAGTTATGTTATGGTTTCTAATGTTTTATTAAATAGTTATGTGTGGGTTTCTAATTTTTTAAAAGTTATGTTTGGATTCTAATGTTTTTTAATAGTTATGTTATGTTTCTAATGTTTTAAATAGTTAGTTATTGGTTTCTAATGTTTTTAATAGTTATGTTATGGTTTCTAATGTTTTTTAATAGTTATGTTGTGGTTTAATGTTTTTAATAGTTATGTATGCGGTTTCTAAATGTTTTTATTAAATATTATGTTGATGGTTTATCTAATGTTTTTTAATAGTTATGTTGTGGTTTCTAATGTTTTTTAATATTATGTTGGGTTTTCTAATGTTTTTTAATATGTTATGTTGTGGTTTCTAATGTTTTTTAATAGTTATGTTGTGGTTTCATAATGTTTTTTAATATTATGTTATGGTTTCTAATGTTATTTTAATAGTTATGTTATGGTTTCTAATGTTTTTTTTAATAGTTATGTTATGGTTTCTAATGTTTTTTAATAGTTATGTTTGGTTTCTAATGTTTTTTAATAGTTATGTTGGTTTCTAATTTTTTAATAGTTATGTTTTGGTTTCTAATTTTTCTAATAGTTATGTTGTGGTTTCTAATGTTTTTTTAATAGTTATGTTGTGTTTCTAATGTTTTTCTAATAGTTATGTTGTGGTTTCTAATGTTTTTTAATAGTTATGTTGTGGTTTCTAATGTTTTTTAATAGTTATGTTGTGGTTTCTAATGTTTTTTAATAGTTATGTTTTGGTTTCTAATTTTTTTAATAGTTATGTTGTGGTTTCTAATGTTTTTTAATAGTTATGTTATGGTTTCTAATGTTTTTTAATAGTTATGTTATGGTTTCTAATGTTTTTTTAATAGTTATGTTATGGTTTCTAATGTTTTTTAATAGTTATGTTATGGTTTCTAATGTTTTCTAATAGTTATGTTGTGGTTTCTAATGTTTTCTAATAGTTATGTTGTGGTTTCTAATGTTTTCTAATAGTTATGTTGTGGTTTCTAATGTTTTTTAATAGTTATGTTGTGGTTTCTAATGTTTTTAATAGTTATGTTGTGGTTTCTAATGTTTTTTAATAGTTATATGTTGATGGTTTCTAGTTTTTTTAATAGTTATTGTTGTGGTTTCTAATGTTTTTTTAATAGTTATGTTGTGTTTCTAATGTTTTTTAATAGTTATGTTGTGGGTTTCTAATGTTTTTAAATAGTTATGTGTTGGTATTCTAATGTTTTTAATAGTTATGTATGGTTTTTTCAATGTTTTAATAGTTTTTTGGTTCTAATTTATAATATGTATGTGGTTTCTAATGTTTTTTAATAGTTATGTTGTGGTTTCTAATGTTTTTTAATAGTTTATGTTGTTGGTTTCTTAATGTTTTTTAATAGTTATGTTATGGTTTCTAATGTTTTTTAATAGTTATGTTGTGGTTTCTAATGTTTTTTAATAGTTATGTTGTGGTTTCTAATGTTTTTTAATAGTTATGTTGTGGTTTCTAATGTTTTTTAATAGTTATGTTGTGGTTTCTAATGTTTTCTTGGTGTGTGACTGACTACCCACTACAGAATCTTCAGTGTGTTCAGTCTCGTCCCAGAGCAGTGGTGTCAGTGATAGTTCCGCTACTAGCAGTAGTTCCAGCAAGAACTATTGTGACAAGGCACAACCTGGATCTTCAAGATTGTGGTGGAACAGAAGACTAGTGGTACTAGTGGTACTAGTGTCACCTTACACCTGGTGGCACCTACCATGCAGGAGAAGCAAGCTTGGATCAGTGATATTAGCCAGGTAATTGTGGTGGTAATTGTTGTTGTGATTGTGGTCGTGACTGTTGTTATGATTGTGGTGGTGATTGCAATCTGTGTTTTGTGTGGAGGAAGTTGACATTAGGCAGTCCATCTTACCGGTGTTTGCTGGTATGTACAGTGTGGTGGCTGTTAACCAAGATACCAAGGGGAAACAGGTGTGGTCCAAGACGCCTCTGGAAAGTGGCCTAGGGTCAGCCCCCTGGTGGGTCCTCCGGGAAACAGACCTCTGGAGACGCCTCCCCTAGCGGGAGTTATGAGAAACAGATACGAGGTAGACGTGCTGTCTACATCGCTCGGCCACACACCTCAGATTGTCCCTACCTGGCAGTATGGGTGTGTGGCGAAAGAAACTTCACATATAACTCTGGAAATTGACTTTGGCTTACCCTCTTTAATTTTTTTAAAAACAATAGGCCTAAAAAACTCCCAGGCTCCATTGTGGAAAGAGAAAACAGGTGGGCTGAACTCCAGCAAAGATGGTAAGGGTCGGGGCCATGGGATGTTAAGACATCTGTAAAGCATTGATTGGCAGTAACATCTCCTAGGGTGTGGCATGTAACATGGAAGGGCAGTACTACCCTGGCCTGATACAGACTGTATCATACAAGCTGTATGAGTTCAAACATAGTCCACAATGACTTTGTTGTTTCTGATATTAAATGACTGTAAAGAGTATAAGTGTTGATGTCGTCTTCAGTGAGGAGACAATTAGTGTAGTTAGTGAAGGAGCTGGATAAGACAGGTGTGCCAATTGTCACAGAAATGTACTTCTGTCCTAGATCATAGACTCTAGGTATGTCATTAGATAGGAAGACAGTCATTCGTCATGTCAGTAGAAGTGTAGGAGATGGGATGTCACTAGCATCAGTCTGGTATCATTGTTGCAACACAGGTTCCTGCAACTCAGCTTCACCTCACACATCGTTAGTTTCTTCATGTGGTCAAGACAAGCTTTCTTAATTGCTACACTGGCAATCTCCCTCACCTGGAACTTGTTGACCACATTAGGTCAACAAGCTCCGTAGGAGTTGTCTGTGTCAACAAAAGCAACATGCCTTGACAGAGCATCAGTAATGACATCTTGCTTACCAGGAGCATAGCGAGTTTCTGGTTATAGTCGTTGAAAGTGAGAGAAAACTGAACATGTTTTCCTGGGAGATTCTTGTTTGCAAATAGAAATAACAATGGCAAGTGATCAGTGTAAATCTTGATGTGATACTGGTAGATAAAGTCTCAGAAATGGACCAAGCCCAGACAGTGGCTAAGGCCTCTAACTCTGTTATTGAGTTGATATTTTCTGCTTTAGTAAGAACGCAACTAGCTTAAGTTATTGGGTGTTGCTTACTGTTGAACTCTTATGGCAAAACAGCACCAACAACACCTTTGCTGATATCCGTTGTCACAGTAAACGCTTTGGTAAAGTCAGGAAATTTAAGAATAGTAGCTAACATTAACTATTCTTAAATATAATAAAAGAACGTTCCTGGTTTCTCGAGAAGCCATGTGAATGGTGTGGCTATGGTGGAAAATCTGGCTATGAAGATGCAGTAGAGTCTAGCTAGGTCTGCTATCCTAGAGCTAAGGAATTCCTGAATAGTCTTTATGGTATTCTGGGTCACTATGTGGCCCTGAAACTGGCATTTAGGGAGCTAATTTTGCGACTAACCTCTGCTAACTTTTCCAACACCCATTCAAGTTTTAGGAGAAGTGAAGGTATGTCTCGGGGCATCACAATGAGATCATCTATGTAGACAATTAAGCTATTACTTACGAGAGTAAGCAAGGTCGTTGTTATCGAACGACTGAATGTTACTGGGCTGTTTCTTAACCCAAAAGGCATCCTTATAAACTAATAATGACCAATTGGCATAGAGAATGCCATCAATTCTTTATTTTGGTTATCATGAGGAATCTACCAAAATCCTTGTAAATTCTACACGTTCAATTTCCTGTAGCCAGTTACAGGATGCCATATCATATTTTTCTAACAGTAGTAATAACTCTGGTCTCCCACAGTGTCTGGACAACGTACACTTCAACAACCTCTTCCGGTCATCAATGTCCGACACTTCATCCATAACAATGCCACATTTCATCAAGAACGACCCTAAGCTATTTAGAGACGACATCGACATCCGCTTCTCCCGGACCCTTAATTCCTGTAAGGTAAGAGAGAGAGAGAGAGAGAGAGAGAGAGAGACCAATTTCAAGTTACTTTGCTTATGAAGGCGCTTAGAAAACGAGGGTTAATAACGTTAAATTACAACTGAGGTTAGGTAAATCGGTACATGATTTAGTTAACTATGATTGAGAACATTTTTCTAAGATTATAAAGAATTGGTAAAAATGGTTTTTAAATGGTTGGCTAATTTTGGGGCAGAAAGAACGTGTCTTAACTTACAAATTTGCATAAATGTGTAGGAATTTGGGTGGTCAGTCTTCACACACTGAAAAGAGTATCTCTTTAGAGACTTAGGTAATCATCGACACCATGCCTAACCCTTTTAGGGTAGGGTAGGTGCCTGAGCCCGAGCCTTTAGCTCATAAGACTGTCATTCATATTTGCCCCCTTGGGGCGGGGATGGCAGACCAGAGAGGCCTAGCTTGTGGCTAGGCCTGGGGACAGTTGGTCCCAAAGATGAGGAGGTACTTGTGCCTCCTCCCATGGGAGACTTAGGTCTCAGACACTCCCTAAAGAGGGAGCCAAGGCCGGGCCACCACTTGGACAAGGCCCGGGCCGGGAGAATACCGGCTAATCTTTAACTAACGAGACTTAGGTATTGCCTGAACTTGCTGCCATCTGCAGCTCATAAGACTGCCATCCCCACGAGCCCCTTTGAGGCGGGGTAGATGGCAGACCAGAGGCCTAGCTTCTCCCTACGAGCCCCGTGAGGGCGGGGAATGTGGCTAGGCCTGGGGACACTTGGTCCCAAAGATGAGGAGGTACTTGTACCTCCTCCCATGGGAGACTTAAGTCTCGAGACACTCCCCAGAGAGGGAGTCAAGGCCGGGTCACCACTTGGAAAAGACCCGGGCTGGGAGAATACTGGCTAATCTTTATTAATAATAATGATAATATATGTCGTACCAAATAGGTAAAACTGGTCAGTTAACAAGAACTCACTTAAAATTAAGTCCTTTCTAAAATTTTCTCTTATACGTTTAAAGATATATACTTTTTCATTTATGTTAATGTAAAAATTAACAATTTTGTACCAAAAGAACCTTAGAAAACTTACCTGACCTTATAATGAGTACAATTTAATTTAGCCTAAACCAGCTAAGTATATTTTAGATACGTTTACAATAATTTAATAATAAACAAACACAGTGATATATATTTTCTTCGTTTGGTTCACAACGATTTTTGCGAAATTATTGTATACACATATTTTCGCTTGTCTTTTTCGGCAAGAAGAGCATTGCTATTTAAGCCAAAATCGCAAGTTTTACCTATTTGGCACGACATATACACTGAGAGGTGCATATCTTAGTGTATAAACACTGAGGGTTCACATTAATCACTATTTTGAGTATTATTCTTGACTGATGGTGTAGTAGATAGACTTCAAACCTTATTAACCAGTCTTAATGACCCTAGTAGACTTTAAACCCTTACATTTCAATTAATTTAGTACCACTGTTCTCCACCAGGTGCCTCATATACGCTATGCCACCCCCAATAGACTGCTGGAACGACTGACAGACTTAAGGTTTCTCTCTATCGACTTCCTGAACACCTTCCTGCTGACCTACAGAGTCTTCACTGATGGAATCTCGGTGTTGGAAGCCCTTAAAAAGGTGTACTACAACCCTGATGTCAACGACCAGCTGGTGGACTCCCGGGACTCCTCTGTAGAGAGGTTTGAAACCTGCAAATCTCTTAATTCAGGGCAGTGGAGGTAGATAGAATCAACTGTTACCACCTGTCTTTAAACCAATGCCAGAGACGTGTACTGAACATTCATTACCTTGGCCCTTCATACTGTGAGGTGTGTGCTCCTCATCCAGGGTAATGGAGGTAGGTAGAATCAGCTATGGGTTTCTGGCATTCATTTGAAACACTTATGGAACGTCTGAAGCAAGTGTTACTCTCTTGGTCCTTCACATTGAGAGGAGTGTGCTGAAGACGGGTACATGTTCCTCACTCAAGACACTGGAAATATCTGGGATCAATAGTGATTACCTTCCATAAATCAAAACAGATGGCCGAAAACTCCAGCTGTAGGTCATTACATAACTAAGAACCGTGTCAGGAAACACTTGTCCTGTTTCCCAACTTTACTTTTCCAAAGTATTCGTTGGCCCTTCCTACCGGAGCATGTCAGATGATGACCCAAACACACACTCTTTCATAACTTTCTGGGAGTAACTGCATTTACCTGTCAGGTTATATCTAAACAATGAAGTCACAGGAGGAATAACTTGTCAGTACCTCATGACTGTTGAACCAGTCTTTCTTGTAAAGCTCCTCTATATAGAGTTAGCTCTCTTATAAAGCTGGAGGGTTAGTGAGGTTTGCTAGGCTTGACGCACCTGGAGGGTTAGTGAGGTTTACTAGGCTTGACGCACCTGGAGGGTTAGTGAGGTTTGCTAGGCTTGACACACCTGGAGGGTTGGGGAGGTTTGCTAGGCTTGATACTCCTGGAGGGTTAGGGAGGTTTGCTAGGCTTGACACTCCTGAGCTGTTAGTGAGGTTAGCTCACCTTGACACACCTGGAGGGTTAGTGAGGTTTGCTAGGCTTGACACTCCTGAACTGTTAGTGAGGTTAGCTCACCTTGACACACCTGGAGGGTTAGTGAGGCTTGCTAGGCTTGACACACCTGGAGGGTTAGTGAGGCTTGCTAGGCTTGACACACCTGGAGGGTTAGTGAGGCTTGCTAGGCTTGACACACCTGAAGGGTTAGTGAGGTTTGCTAGGCTTGACACACCTGGAGGGTTAGTGAGGCTTGCTAGGCTTGACACACCTGGAGGGTTAGTGAGGCTTGCTAGGCTTGACGCACCTGGAGGGTTGGGGAGTGTTACAAAAAAATGCGATATCTAATAATCTTATAGATCTCCAGGTAACACTAGAAAGGTCTGCCCTTCTAGCATCCAGCCTGTTACTGGGTTGTTGTAACCAGTAGTCAGTATCCTGGTCCAATTATCCAGTAGAATTTAGTAAGATTCAATAGTGCTTCAGGATTACAACTGGTAGGCTACTAACTAGAGAAATTAACATTTAATAAGTTTATTAATAATAAAGTCGTCTAGGCGTATAATAACAAAGTAAATTATAGTACTCAATTGAATATAATATAGGACACAAGTTGGTACACTTCTCTGGTGTACAGTAGTACTGTGCTGAAGGTTCATATCACATCTTTATGGCTTTTAAGTACCGTCTGGTACATTGTTAACATTTAATAACATAGTACTAATATATACAAGTAAGTTTGTGTGTGTGTGTGTAAGTGCTGTAAGTAGTTCACTATGTCTCAAGACTCAGCTAGACTTAACCTGTGACTGACTAAAAGTCCTCACATAAACTAACTTCTTGACCAACCTGGCAATCAGAACAGCTTGCTTGAACAATAAAATGACTGATAAGCCGAACAGCAATATAACAAGCAACTGCGACACAGAATCAGGAACAAGGAGATAATATAACGACACTAAGTAGGGACCATCTGCAGATCCTCCACAAAAGTCACAAAACTCCCATACTACTGAATCTAAGTTCAGCATAAGAAAATCCCCGACTGTGACAGTACACAGATGCCAGTACAAGTTAGATACCAGTACAAGTTAGGTCAGAAGCTACAGCTCAGGACCTGAGTTTCTCAGAGTGTCTATGTGACACACAATCTCAGTACAACGTCGAAAATCACTAAGTCTATCCAAAGTTCTGTGAACAGAGTTCCACAGAACCAACAACAAGAAAGCAACAGAGACGATCTTCCAACAAGGGTCAACAAGGGAGAGCTGGAGAGAGACCTCTTGTTAGAAGCAACGTCCAACAGACAATCCAGCGCAGGCCAGGCAGACTACTCCCTCAGGTGAGGTGTTTATCCCCCCTGATCACGTGACTCTCCGTAGACTGCTGCTGCCCAGCAACACAGAGAAGCCGGCAGTGTAACAAGCAGAGTGAAAATTACAGTAGTTAGACAAGGCTGTCAGCTACTTAACACACGAACTATGAGCACTGAATAATATATAAATGTTACATCCTAGCTAATAATATAACTAAGTCATATAATAATATAAAGCAATATATTTACGATTTAGCTAATATTTCAAATATAAGCAATATAAAATTATATGAAAAGGTAATATACATCATATACATTGTGACCCATTCAGGGGTCGCAATAGGGAGGTTTGCTAGGCTTAACACACCTAAAGGGTTAGTGAGGTTTGCTAGGCTTGACACACCTAAAGGGTTAGTGAGGTTTGCTAGGCTTGACACACCTAAAGGGTTAGTGAGGTTTGCTAGGCCTGACACATCTAAAGGGTTAGTGAGGTTTGCTAGGCCTGACACACCTGGAGGGTAGTTCGGGTAGTGTGAGCAAGGTGTCTAAGTAGTTCAGGGCGAGAGCAGTGAAATTTGAAGACACTGTATCTAGAGAACCAATCGTTAACGAAGTGGTCGTTAGTAGAGATGGTCGTAATAAGGTGGTTCAGGTCACTGGCATAGATACACCAGTCCACCATCACAAGACAGTCAACAATCACATTGTTCTCCCCCAGGTCACCAGAATACGTCACCTCACCACCACCGGACACTGAGAGCGGTCGTACGTCCCCCCGACGTACCTCCACCATAAGTGCTATATCAGGTAGGAATAATAAAAAAATATCAACTCAGAGATAATGGAAAGAGAATATATAGTCATATGAAAGCAGCCTCCACTGAGGTGAGGTCCTCATCAGAGTATCATGTCCCGCAGGCTTCGAGGTGGAGGCTCCCAGGGAGAGATGTTGGACATTCGACGCCCAGGTTGCTAAGGTGTCTGGAAACCAACACTGGAGATGGTCTTACCGGCGTTGTAAGTCACTGAAACACTGCTAGTTCACCTGTTTCACCTGTTTCAGTCACTGAAACACTGCTAGGTCACCTGTTTCACCTGTTTCAGTCACTGAAACACTGCTAGTTCACCTGTTTCACCTGTTTCAGTCACTGAAACACTGCTAGTTCACCTGTTTAAACCTGTTTCAGTCACTGAAACACTGCTAGTTCACCTGTTTCACCTGTTTCAGTCACTGAAACACTGCTAGTTCACCTGTTTCACCTGTTTCAGTCACTGAAACACTTCTAGTTCACCTGTTTCAGTCACTGAAACACTGCTAGTTCACCTGTTTCACCTGTTTCAGTCACTGAAACACTTCTAGTTCACCTGTTTCACCTGTTTCAGTCACTGAAACACTGCTAGTTCACCTGTTTCACCTGTTTCAGTCACTGAAACACTGCTAGTTCACCTGTTTCACCTGTTTCAGTCACTGAAACACTGCTAGGTCACTTGTTTCACCTGTTTCAGTCACTGAAACACTGCTAGGTCACTTGTTTCAGTCTCTGAAACACTTCTAGTTCACCTGTTTCACCTGTTTCAGTCACTGAAACACTGTTAGTTCACCTGTTTTACCTGTTTCAGTCACTGAAACACTGTTAGTTCACCTGTTTCACCTGTTTCAGTCACTGAAACACTGTTAGTTCACCTGTTTTACCTGTTTCAGTCACTGAAACACTGTTAGTTCACCTGTTTCACCTGTTTCAGTCACTAAAAACACTGTTAGTTCACCTGTTTTACCTGTTTCAGTTACTGAAACACTGTTAGTTCACCTGTTTTACCTGTTTCAGTTACTGAAACACTGCTAGTTCACCTGTTTTACCTGTTTCAGTTACTGAAACACTGCTAGTTCACCAGTTTCACCTCTTTGTAACTGAAACACTGCTAGTTCACTTGTTTCAGTTATTTCAGTCAGCTTCACTGACTGAAATAACTGCTGTTTCACCCCTTTCAGTTGAGGAGGAACAAAGAGAGCAGGATGACAGGAGGGGACGCGAGATGCCAGCAGTAACAGACTCCTTGTACCACGCCCAGGATACCCTTCCTACCAGTGCTCCTGACTCACCCTTCAGCCCTAAGAAGGTAAGGCACATACACACGGGGCCAGGAGCTGTGAATCGACCCCTACAACAACATATAGGCTAATACACAAACACGCTAGGGGCCAAGAGCTGTGACTCTACACCTACAGCTTATTGGCTAGTACAAACACACACACAAACACACACACATACACACACACACACACAAGGGGCCAAGAGCTGTGATTCGAACCTTACAACAGCATTTAGGCTAGTATACACACACACACACACACACACACACAAGCACACACACGCACACATGCACATACACACACACAAATATACATACACATATAAACACCCACACAAAACACACTAACATTCAACATACATGGACATACACCCCCCACACACAGACACTAACACCCCACCTCCACACAAGCTAACACCCTCCACACACAGACACTAACACCCACATCCACACAAGCTAACACCCTCCACACACAGACACTAACACCCACCTCCACACAAGCTAACACCCTCCACACACAGACACTAACATCCCACCTCCCCAACATGCCAACACCCTCCACACACAGACACTAACATCCCAACTCCACACATGCCAACACCCCTCCACACACAGACACTAACATCCCACCTACACACATGCCACACCCCTCCACACACAGACACTAACATCCCACCTCCACACATGCCAACACCCTCCACACACAGACACTAAACATCCCACCTACACACAAGCTAACACCCTCCACACACAGACACTAACATCCCACCTCCACACATGCCAACACCCTCCACACACAGACACTAACATCCCACCTACACACATGCCAACACCCTCCACACACAGACACTAACATCCCACCTCCACACATGCCAACACCCTCCACACACAGACACTAACATCCCACCTACACACATGCCAACACCCCCACACACAGACACTAACATCCCACCTACACACATGCCAACACCCTCCACACACAGACACTAACATCCCACCTACACACATGCCAACACCCTCCACACACAGACACTAACATCCCACCTCCACACAAGGTAACACCCTCCACACACAGACACTAACACCCCACCTCCACACAAGGTAACACCCTCCACACACAGACACTAACACCCCACCTACACACAAGCTAACACCCTCCACACACAGACACTAAATTCCCACCACCCCACATGCCAACACCCCTCCACACACAGACACTAACATCCCACCTCCACACATGCCAACACCCCTCCACACACAGACACTAACATCCCACCTACACACATGCCAACACCCTCCACACACAGACACTAACATCCCACTACACACAAGCTAACACCCTCCACACACAGACACTAACACCCCACCTACACACATGCCAACACCCTCCACACACAGACACTAACATCCCACCTCCACACAAGGTAACACTCTCCACACACAGACACTAACACCCCACCTACACACAAGCTAACACCCTCCACACACAGACACTAACACCCCACCTCCACAACAGCTAACACCCTCCACACACAGACACTAACACCCCACCTCCCACACAAGCTAACACCCTCCACACACAGACACTAAAAACCCCACCTCCACACAAGCTAACACCCTCCACACACAGACACTAACATCCCACCTCCACACAAGCTAACACCCTCCACACACAGACACTAAACCCCCCCACCTCCACACAAGCTAACACCCTCCACACACAGACACTAACATCCACCTCCACACAAGCTAACACCTCCACCACAGACACTAACATCCCACCTCCACACAAGCTAACACCCTCCACACACAGACACTAACATCCCACCTACACACAAGCTAACACCCTCCACACACAGACACTAACATCCCACCTACACACAAGCTAACACCCTCCACACACAGACACTAACATCCCACCTCCACACAAGCTAACACCCTCCACACACAGACACTAACATCCCACCTACACACATGCCAACACCCCCCACACACAGACACTAACATCCCACCTACACACATGCCAACACCCCCCACACACAGACACTAACATCCCACCTACACACATGCCAACACCCCCCACACACAGACACTAACATCCCACCTACACACAAGCTAGCACCCCCCACACACAGACACTAACATCCCACCTACACACATGCCCAACACCCTCCACACACAGACACTAACATCCCACCTACACACATGCCAACACCCTCCACACACAGACACTAACATCCCACCTACACACATGCAACACCCCCCACACACAGACACTAACACCCCACCTCCACACAAGCTAACACCTCCACACACAGACACTAACACCCCCCCTCCACACAAGCTAACACCCTCCACACACAGACACTAACATCCCACCTACACACATGCCAACACCCCCACACACAGACACTAACACCCCACCTACACACAAGCTAACACCCCACCTCCACACAAGCCAACACCCTCCACACACAGACACTAACACCCCACCTCCACACAAGCTAACACCCTCCACACACAGACACTAACACCCCACCTACACACAAGCTAACACCCACCTCCACACAAGCTAACACCCTCCACACACAGACACTAACACCCCACCTACACACAAGCTAACACCCCATCTCCACACAAGCTAAAAACCCTCCACACACAGGGCACTAACACCCCACCACACAAAGCTAACACCCCACCTCCACACAGGCTAACACCCTCCACACACAGACACTAACACCCCACCTACACACAAGCTAACACCCCACCTCCACACAAGCTAACACCCTCCACACACAGACACTAACACCCCACCTACGCACAAGCTAACACCCCATCTCCACACAAGCTAACACCCTCCACACACAGACACTAACACCCCACCTCCACACAAGCTAACACCTCCACACACAGACACTAACACCCCACCTACACACAAGCTAACACCCTCCACACACAGACACTAACACCCCACCTCCACACAAGCTAACACCCTCCACACACAGACACTAACACCCCACTACACACAAGCTAACACCCCACCTCCACACAGGCTAACACCCTCCACACATCCCCCCCCCCCCCGCCCAAACACACTAATTTTGAGGAAATGGGAGGACAAGTCAGACGAGCTGCAGATGACTACATAGTAGGAACACTTCATACTGGGTGACCAAAAGTGATGATTGCAGTGATATACAACCCGCCACCGAACAGCAGGAAGCCAAGACAGGAATACAATGAGAGCAACAGAGTGATGGTGGACACAGCAGCCGAGGTTGCCAGGAGGGTCCACATGAGCAGGGTAAAGTTGCTTATCACATGGGATTTCAACCATAAGGAGACTGACTGGGAGAACCTAGAGCCGCACGGGCGACCAGAGACGTGGAAAGCCAAGATATTAAACATGGTACTGGAAAATTTCATGTACCAAGATGTTAAGGACACAAAGAGAGAGAGAGGAGATGATGAACCAGCATGGCTGGACTTTGTATTCACCCTGAACAGTTCAGACATAGGGGATATCACACACGAAAGACCCTTAGGCGCTAGTGATCACGTGGTCTTGTGTTTCGAATACATAGCAGAGTTAACAATGAAGAGAGAAGCAGCATGAGAAGGACAGGAGAAGCCAAACTTCCACAAAGGGAACTACACAAGTATGAGGCAATTCCTACATGAGGTGCAGTGGGTAAGCGAGCCAGAGGGGAAGACAGTAAACGAAATGATAGAACACACAACCACAAAGTGCAGGGAGGCAGTGGAGCTCATACCAAGAGGCAACAGAAACAACGGGAAGACCAGAGTGAACCATTGTTTACCAGGACGTGTGGAGAGACCAAAGCCATGTGTGTTAGACGATGGAAAAGTATAGAAGGCAAAGGAACCTGGAAACAAGGAATTGAGTTGAAGAGCCAGAAATGAATATGCAGGGATATGGAGAAAAGTCCAGCCTCAGTATGAGAACAACATAGCATCAAAAGCCAAAATCTGATCCAAAGTTATTATAGAGCCAAATAAGGGAAAAACAACAGGCAAGGACGAGGTAATTAGGTTGAGGAAGAAGGGGAGCTCACAGGGAACAACCAGGAAGTATGTGAAGACCTGAGCTCAAGATTCAGGGAGATATTCATAGTGGAGTTAGAAATGCAGTGTGTCCAGCACTTGCTGGACACACTGTACACAACCGAGGAGGAGGTGAACAAACTGCTAAGAGAACTAGATATCTTGAAGGCGGTGAGTTCAACTAATATGTCTCCTTGAGTCCTGAGAGAGGGAGCAGAGACACTGTGTGTGCCACTTGTAACAATCTTCAATAAATCTATCGAAACAGAGCAACTACCTGAGGTATGGAAGACAGCAAATGTAGTCCCAATTTTTAAGAAGGAGACAGACAAGCTGCACGAATTACAGACCAGTGTCACTAACATGTATTATATGTAAAGTTATGGAGAAGATTATCAGGAAAAAAGCAGTGGAGCACCTAGAAAGGAATTTACTAATACCTGACAACCAGCACGGCTTCAGGGAAGTGAAATCCTGCATCACAAACCTATTGGAGTTCTATGACAAGGTAACAGAAGTAAGACAGGAGAGAGAGAGAGAGAGAGAGAGAGAGGAGAGAGAGAGAGAGAGAGAGAGAGAGAGAGAGGAATGGGTAGACTGCATCTTCTTGGACTGTAAGAAGGCTTGCAACACAGTACCACACAAGAGACTGGTTAAAAAGCTAGAGAAGCAGGCAGGAATAGGAGAGAAAGTACTCCAATGGATCAAGGAATACTTTACAGGAAGGAGACAACTTATGTCAGTACGAGGCGAGGTGTTATAGTGGGTGCACGTGTCAACTGGGGTTCCACAAGGGTCAGTCCTAGATCCGGTGCTGTTTCTTGTATATGTGAATGACAAGACGGAAGGGATAGAGTTAGAGGTGTCCCTGTTTGCAGACGATGTTGAGCTAATAAGGAGAATACAAGCGAACGAGTATCAGGTTAACCTACAAGGGGATCTGGACAAACTGCAAGCCTGGTCCAACAAATGGCTCCTGGAGTTTAACCCCAGCAAGTGCAAGGTTATGAAGCTTGGGGAAGGACAAAGGTGACCACAGACGGTCAGAGGCTGCAAAACTCACTCAAGGAAAAGAATCTTAGAGTGAGCATCATACCGAGCATATCTCCTGAGACGCACATCAACCAAATAACTGCAGCAGCATATGGGCGCCTGGCAAACCTGAGGATAACGTTTCGACACCTAAGTAAGGAGTTATTCAAGACACTGTACACCGTGTACGTCAGGCACATACTGGAGTACGCAGCACCAGTATGGAACCCACACCTGGTCAAACACGTTAAGAAATTAGAGAAAGTGCAAAAGTTTGCAACAAGATTAGTCCCAGAGCTAAAGAGTATGTCCTACAAGGAGAGTTTCAGGGAACTTAACCTGACAACACTGGAGGACAGGAGGGATATGATAACAACATATAAAATACTTAGAGGAACTGACAATTTGGATAGAGACGGGATGTTCCAGAGATGGGACACAGCAACAAGGGGACACAGTTGGAAGTTGAAGACACAGATGAGTCACAGGGATGTTAGGAAGTATTTCTTCAGTCATAGAGTTGTCAGGAAGTGGAACAATCTGGAGAGTGATGTAGTGGAGGCAGGAACCATACATAGCTTTAAGATGAGGTATGATAAAGCTCATGGAACAAGGGGAGAGAGTGAACCTAGTGGCGACCAGAGAAGAAGCGGGACCAGGAGCTATGACTCGACCCCTGCAACCACAAACAGGTGAGTATAATTATGTGAGGATACGCACACAAGAGGCCAGGAGCTGTGAATCGACCCTTACAACAACACATAGGCTAGTACACACACAAGGGCCCAGGAACTGTGACCTGATCCTTAAAACAACATATGGACTAGTACACACACACATACACAAGGGGCCAGGAGCTGTGACTTGATGCCTAGAACATATAGGCTAGTACATACACACGGGGCCAGGAGCTGTGACTTGATGCCTAGAACATATAGGCTAGTACATACACACGGGGCCAGGAGCTATGACTCGACTTTACAACAACATTTAGGCTAGTACACACACACACTCATAAACAAGGAGCCAGGAGCTGTGTCTAAAAGTAACTAAAAGTATCTATAAGTATTTAAAAGTATCTATAAGTATCTAAAAGTATCTATAAGTATCTAAAAGTATCTCTAAAGAATCTTTGAAGCATCTGAAAGTATCTCTAAAGTATCTCTATAGTATCTGAAAGTACCTTTAAGTATCTGAAAATATTTCTAAAGTATAATAAAGTATCTCTAAAGTATCTCTAAAGTATCTTTAAAGTATCTGGAAGTATCTTAAAGGTATCTAAAAAGTATCTTCCTCATAAACAGGTGACCATAAGGACAGAAGAGGAGAACAAATTCTTGACGATACCCAAGACTCGACCCAATGTTGTTGGTTCCACCTCGTCTGCTGACACTCTTATTGATGAAGGTACTGCTGTTGTTGTTGTTGTTGTTGTTGTTGTTGTTGTTGTTGTTGTTGTTGTTGGTTCAACCTCGTCGACCTGGTAAGAGACATAACAATATCAGAAACAACTAATTCCGATTGCATTCTAATCGAAGTCCAGACGTACATGCATAGGCGTCCTGATCAGCAGAATGCATGTACCTGTGAAGGTGTCTTCACAAAATACAACTTCAACAACAAGAACATCAACTGGGACCAGGTAAACCATGTCCTAAATGAAACATGTTGGGAAGATGTCTTAAATGACATGGATCCAAACCAGTGCCTTGAAAGGATCAACTTCCTGGCAGCTGAAGCATGTTCTAGGCATATTCCCCTAAGAAAGAAGAAGAGCAGGAGTAAACTGGAGAGAGAAAGACGCTCCCTCTACAGAAGACGACGAAGAGTCACTGAGCTCCTCAGGAGTGCTAGAATATCTGATACACGAAAGGAGGCGCTGACCAGGGAAGTGGAAACTATCGAACTTAAGCTAAATGACTCTTACAGGAACCAGGAGAGGCATGAGGAACTTAAAGCGATTAGTGAAATTGATAGAAATTCGAAATATTTCTTTTCATATGCCAAAAACAAGGCAAATACCACATCTAGTATCGGGCCCTTACTCAGACAGGATGGGACTTACTCAGACAGGATGGGACTTACTCAGACAGGATGGGACTTACTCAGACAGGATGGGACTTACTCAGACAGGATGGGACTTACTCAGACAGGATGGGACTTACTCAGACAGGATGGGACTTACTCAGACAGGATGGGACTTACTCAGACAGGATGGGACTTACTCAGACAGGATGGGACTTACTCAGACAAGATGGGACTTACACAGATGACAACAAGGAAATGAGTAAAATACTGAAATCCCAGTACGACTCTGTGTTTAGTGAACCACTAATCGGTCTGAGGATCGACGACCCAAATGATTTCTTCATGAATGAGCCTCAAAACTCCATAAATGTATGCCAGATTCCCGACATTACCCTAACTCAGATAGACTTCGAAAAAGCCATTGACAACATGCCCATGCACTCAGCCTCGGGCCCAGACTCGTGGAACTCTGTTTTCATTAAGAACTGCAAGAAACCCCTCTCGCGTGCCCTAAGTACACTATGGAGGAGGCGCTTGGACATGGGTGAAATTCCACAGTCACTTAAAACAACGGATATAGCCCCACTCCATAAAGGTGGCAGCAAAGCATTAGCTAAGAACTATAGACCAATAGCTGTAATGTCCCACATCATAAAAATCTTTGAAACATGGGTTTAGGGCAGGTCGCTTCTGCCTCTCACAACTACTGGACCACTATGATATGACCTTGGATGCACTGGAAGAAAATCAGAATGCAGATGTAATATACACAGACTTTGCAAAAGCATTTGACAAATGCGATCATGTGTAATAGCCCATAAAATACGTGCTAAAGGAATAACTGGGAAAGTGGGGAGATGGATCTCCAACTTCCTAACAAATCGAACACAAAGAGTAGTGGTCAACAGAGTTAAATCGGAGGCTGCCATAGTGAAGAGCTCTGTTCCACAAGGCACAGTACTCGCCCCCATCTTATTCCTTATCCTCATATCAGACATAGACAGAGATATACATCACAGCACCGTATCATCCTTTGCGGATGATACTAGGATCTGCATGAGGCTGTCATCTGCTGAGGACGCGGTTAACCTCCAAGAAGATATAAACAAAGTTTTCCAGTGGGCAACGGTAAACAATATGATGTTCAATGAGGACAAATTCCAACTACTCCGTTATGGAAAACTGGAGGAGATAATAACTAGAACAGAGTATACTACTGACTCCGGCCATACAAAAGAGCGGAAAAATAATGTAAGGGACCTGGGAGTAGTAATGTCTGAGGATCTCACTTTCAAGGATCACAACAGTGCCACGATCGCACGTGCAAAGAAAATGATAGGATGGATAATGAGAACGTTCAAAACGAGAGATGCCAAGCCAATGATGATCCTTTCAAATCACTTGTTCTCTCTAGGCTGGAATACTGCTGTACATTAACATCTCCATTCAAGACAGGTGAAATCGCAGATCTAGAGAGTGTACAGAGATCCTTTACTGCACGTATAAGTTCTGTCAAGCACTTTAACTACTGGGAACGCTTGGAAGCACTTAACTTGTACTCCCTGGAACGCAGGAGAGAGAGATATATCATAATATACACTTGGAAAATCCTGGAAGGAATGGTTCCAAATCTGCACACAGAAATCACTCCCTACGAAAGTAAAAGACTGGGCAGGCGATGCAAAATGCCCCCAATTATAAATAGGGGCGCCACTGGTACACTAAGGGAAAATACGATAAGTGTCCGGGGCCCAGGACTGTTCAACAGCCTCCCACCAAGCATAAGGGGAATTACCAATAAACCCCTGGCTGCCTTCAAGACCCCTGGCTGCCTTCAAGACCCCTGGCTGCCTTCAAGACCCCTGGCTGCCTTCAAGACCCCTGGCTGCCTTCAAGACCCCTGGCTGCCTTCAAGACCCCTGGCTGTCTTCAAGACCCCTGGCTGTCTTCAAGACCCCTGGATGCCTTCAAGACCCCTGGCTGTCTTCAAGACCCCTGGCTGTCTTCAAGACCCCTGGCTGTCTTCAAGACCCCTGGCTGTCTTCAAGACCCCTGGCTGCCTTCAAGACCCCTGTCTAGTATATATGTCTTGAATGTCTTCTCAGGGTAATAGATACACTAAGGATATATACTCAGGTTTGTAGATACTTTGTATATCTATTCAGGTTGGTATATAATGTATGTCTTGCATATCTACTCAGGCTGGTAGATACTTCCTGTATATCTATTCAGGCTGGTAGATACTTCCTGTATATCTACTCAGGCTGGTAGATACTTCCTATATATCTACTCAGGCTGGTAGATACTTCCTATATATCTACTCAGGCTGGTAGATACTTCCTGTATATCTACTCAGGCTGGTAGATACTTCCTGTATATCTACTCAGGCTGGTAGATACCTCCTGTATATCTACTCAGGCTGGTAGATACTTCCTATATATCTACTCAGGCTGGTAGATACTTCCTGTATATCTACTCAGGCTGGTAGATACTTCCTGTATATCTACTTAGGCTGGTAGATACTTCCTATATATCTACTCAGGCTGGTAGATACTTCCTGTATATCTACTCAGGCTGGTAGATACTTCCTGTATATCTACTCAGGCTGGTAGATACTTCCTGTATATCTACTCAGGCTGGTAGATACTTCCTATATATCTACTCAGGCTGGTAGATACTTCCTATATATCTACTCAGGCTGGTAGATACTTCCTATATATCTACTCAGGCTGGTAGATACTTCCTATATATCTACTCAGGCTAGTGGATACTCCCGTGGTATCTACACAGGTTAGTAGACATGTCTAATTTATCTACTTATCTGCCAACAGAGACCAGCCTGAGCCAGCCTGACAGCCCGGTAGATATGTCTACTTCAGGCCAGCTAGGGAGGTCACTGGGATTCACTGAGTGGAGGTCGACCTTCGAGGCTGAGAGGTCAAGCAGGAGTAGACGGGCCTCTAGGGTGCTGGAGGCCGTGACCTCTCCTCCTCCAGTCTTTGGAGTGAGTCGGAGGTCAGGTCCAAGGAGGATGTCCTCCCTGGAGGAAAGGTCCCAGGTGAGTGGTCTGGAGGGTGACCTCTGGAGGGTGACCTCTGGAGGGTGACCTCTGGAGGGTGACCTCTGGAGGGTGACCTCTGGAGGGTGACCTCCGGAGGGTGACCTCTGGAGAGTGACCTCTGGAGGATAACCTCTGGAAGGTGACCTCTGGAGGGTGACCTCTGGGGGGTGACCTCTAGAGGGTGTCTTCTGGAGGGTGACCTTTGGAGGATGACCTCTAGAAGGTGACCTCTGGAAGGTGACCTCTGGAGAGTGACCTCTGGAAGGTGACCTCAAGAAGGTGACCTCTGGAAGGTGATCTCTGGAGGGTGACCTCTGGAAGGTGATATCTGGAGGGTGACCTCTGGAGGTTGACCTCTGGAGGGTGACCTCTGGAAGGTGACCTCTGGAGGGTGACCTCTGGAGGGTGACCTCTGGAGAGTGATCTCTTGAGGGTGTCTTCTGGAGGGTGACCTCTGGAGGATAACCTCTAGAAGATGACCTCTGGAAGGTGACCTCTGGAGAGTGACCTCTGGAAGGTGACGTTTGGAGAGTGACCTCTGGAAGGTGACGTTTGGAGAGTGACCTCTGGAAGGTGACGTTTGGAGAGTGACCTCTGGAAGGTGACCTCTGGAAGTTGACCTCTGGAGGGTAACCTCTGGAAGTTGACCTCTGGAGGGTGACCTCTGGAAGTTGACCTCTGGAGGGTGACCTCTGAAAGGTGACTTCTGGAGATGGAATATGACTGGACTTTAAGACCAAAAGGCAGTTTGTAGACTTTGAGTGAATCTTAGTGACGAAATGTATCAGTTATCCTAAAGGTTGTCGACCTAAAGGTGACAGAAGACTCACCCTAAGGGTACCACACGGTACCTGTAGAGTAGATTACCTGCGTAAGTTCGGATAATTCACTACACTGGATACATTACACGTGGCGAGATCACCTGAGTTACCCAGAATATACCTGGAGGTTGTTCTGTGGGTCAGCGCCCCTGTGACCTGGTCCATGACCAGGCCTCACAGTGGACAAGAGCCTGACCAGCCAGGCTGGTACTGCCAACCACATGCAAACTGACGTACAAACCTCAGCCCAGCTGGTCAGGTACTGGAAAGAGTTCTAGGGGTTGTCCCAGGAAGGATGGATGAGAAAGTGAGAAGGTTAAAACTGATACAGGCTTCGGTATCCAGCAGTCATGTGTGAGACGGGAGTGAGTAGAGACAAATATTGTTGGGTATTTGACATATTGTTGGAGTGAATTATTAATAAAGGGGATATTAACAAGGTCTTGAGGATATCTCTCCAAGAGAGAACCCGCAGTAATGGATTTAAATTAGATAAGTTTAGATTTAGAAAGGACATAGGAAAGTATTGGTTTGGAAATAGGGTAGTTGATGAGTGGAACAGTCTACCTAGTTGGGTTATTGAGGCTAGGACTTTGGGTAGTTTCAAATTTACGTTGGATAAGTACATGAGTGGAAGGGGTTGGATTTGAGAGGGACTTGCACATCAGAGCTTATTTCTTGGGTAGCATTGAAAATTGGGTTCGTCAAATGTTTGTTAGTGGGATGAATTGTAAAGGACCTGCCTAGTATGGGCCAACAGGCCTGCTGCAGTGTTCCTCCTTTCTTATGTTCTTATGTTCTTATATGAAGGGATTCAGGGAAACTGGAAAGCTGGATAGACCAGTCATAATGGTGTCGCCATAGGTTACAGCCATTTTTGTGTAAGGATCCTGACCTGGATGCTGGTAGACATAACGCAGTTACAAAAGAATCACAGGATGGGTGGGACTAGAACCTATGGTGAGTTTTAGACTTGCCATGGATCTAAATCCTGGAGATATGTCGCCTGTCCCACGATAATTCACTAGGACATTTTGTGTCGTTTACCCATGTTAAGCATTAACTAGCAATGCTCTGCAACAGGTTGTCGCATACCTTAGCGTCTCAGATCACCATACATGTCACAGTACAGATGACTTATTTCAACGTCGCTCGTGAACAGTGGAGTGTGACCGTGGTTAACTGACAGTGCCTTGTTCTAATTATAACAGAATACAAAGCAGTTAGTGAGGCTGGCTATTTTTGTTTAGGCTATTACCATGATAGAAGATAGTCAGTACCTCAGTCATAATAGAAGGTAGTCAGTACCTCAGTCATGATAGAAGGTAGTCAGTACCTCAGTCATGATAGAAGGTGGTCAGTACCTCAGTCATGATAGAAGGTAGTCAGTACCTCAGTCATGATAGAAGGTCGTCAGTACCTCAGTCATGATAGAAGGTAGTCAGTACCTCAGTCATGATAGAAGGTCGTCAGTACCTCAGTCATGATAGAAGGTAGTCAGTACCTCAGTCATGATAGAAGGTCGTCAGTACCTCAGTCATGATAGAAGGTAGTCAGTACCACAGTTATGATAGAAGGTAGTCAGTCCCTCAGTCATGATAGAAGGTAGTCAGTACCACAGTCATGATAGAAGGTAGTCAGTCCCTCAGTCATGATAGAAGGTAGTCAGTACCTCAGTCATGATAGAAGGTAGTCAGTCCCTCAGTCATGATAGAAGGTAGTCAGTACCTCAGTCATGATAGAAGGTAGTCAGTACCTCAGTCATGATAGAAGGAAGTCAGTACCTCAGTCATGATAGAAGGTAGTCAGTACCTCAGTCATGATAGAAGGTAGTCAGTACCTCAGTCATGATAGAAGGTAGTCAGTCCCTCAGTCATGATAGAAGGTAGTCAGTACCACAGTCATGATAGAAGGTAGTCAGTCCCTCAGTCATGATAGAAGGTAGTCAGTCCCTCAGTCATGATAGAAGGTAGTCAGTACCTCAGTCATGATAGAAGGTAGTCAGTCCCTCAGTCATGATAGAAGGTAGTCAGTCCCTCAGTCATGATAGAAGGTAGTCAGTACCTCAGTCATGATAGAAGGTAGTCAGTACCTCAGTCATGATAGAAGGTAGTCAGTACCTCAGTCATGATAGAAGGTAGTCAGTACCTCAGTCATGATAGAAGGTAGTCAGTCCCTCAGTCATGATAGAAGGTAGTCAGTACCACAGTCATGATAGAAGGTAGTCAGTACCTCAGTCATGATAGAAGGTAGTCAGTACCTCAGTCATGATAGAAGGTAGTCAGTACCTCAGTCATGATAGAAGGTAGTCAGTACCTCAGTCATAAGAACATAACAAAGAAGGAACACTGCAGCAGGCCTACTGGCCCATGCGAGGCAGGTCCAATTCTCCTACCGGCTTAAGCCAATGCCCTAACCTTGTCAGGTCAGGTCACATTCACTTAAGGAAGGAGCACTGCACCAGACCCAACAGCACAAGCTAGTCAGGTCCAACTCACACCCATCCACACCAACTCATGTATTTATCTAAATTATTTTTAAAACTACACAACGTTTTAGCCTCTATAACTGTACTCGGGAGTTTGTTCCACTCATCCACAACTCTATTACCAAACCAGTACTTTCCTATATCCTTCCTGAATCTGAATTTTTCCAACTTAAAACCATTGCTGCGAGTCCTGTCTAGGCTAGATATTTTCAGCACACTATTTACATCCCCTTTATTTATTCCTGTCTTCCATTTATACACCTCAATCATATCCCCCCTAATTCTACGTCTTTCGAGAGAGTGCAGATTCAGGGCCTCAGTCTATCCTCATAGTGCAGATTCAGGGCCTCGGTCTATCCTCATAGTGCAGATTCAGGGCCTCGGTCTATCCTCATAGTGCAGATTCAGGGCCTCGGTCTATCCTCATAGTGCAGATTCAGGGCCTCGGTCTATCCTCATAGTGCAGATTCAGGGCCTCGGTCTATCCTCATAGTGCAGATTCAGGGCCTCGGTCTATCCTCATAGAGCAGATTCAGGGCCTCAGTCTATCCTCATAGTGCAGATTCAGGGCCTCGGTCTATCCTCATAGTGCAGATTCAGGGCCTCAGTCTATCCTCATAGTGCAGATTTCAGGGCCTCGGTCTATCCTCATAGTGCAGATTCAGGGCCTCGGTCTATCCTCATAGTGCAGATTCAGGGCCTCGGTCTATCCTCATAGTGCAGATTCAGGGCCTCGGTCTATCCTCATAGTGCAGATTCAGGGCCTCGGTCTATCCTCATAGAGCAGATTCAGGGCCTCAGTCTATCCTCATAGAGCAGATTCAGGGCCTCAGTCTATCCTCACAGTGCAGATTCAGGGCCTCAGTCTATCCTCATAGGGAAGATTTCTGATACATGGGATCATCTTTGTCATCCTCCTCTGTACGTTTTCCAGAGCATTTATATCCATTCTGTAATACAGTGACCAGAACTGAGCAGCATAGTCTAAATGAGGCCTAACCAAGGATATATAGAGTTGAAGAACAACCTGAGGACTTCTATTATTTATACTTCTAGATATGAACCCAAGAATTCTGTTAGCTTTATTGCCAACACTAATGCACTGTTGTCTTGGTTTTAAATTACTGCTAACCAGAACTCCTAAATCCTTTTTGCAATCTATAATATTAAGATCTACATTATTTAGTTTATATGTGGCATGGTTATTGTCCTGTCCAACATTTAGAACTTTGCATTTGTCTATATTAAACTGCATCTGCCACTTCTCCGACCACTGCATCAGTCTATTCAAATCATCCTGGAGTGCTCTAGTGTCCTCATTAGAATGAATTGGACGACCTATTTTGGTGTCATCAGCAAATTTGCTTATGTAGCTATTTATTCCCTCATCTATGTCGTTTATGTAAATTGTGAACAACAACGGGCCCAACACTGACCCCTGAGGAACACCGCTTGTGACGTGCCCCCATTATGATTTCTCCACATTTATGCAAACTCTCTGCTGTCTATTTGTCAGCCATGCCTCTACCCAGGAAAAAATTTCTCCTCCTATTCCGTGTGCCTTAAGTTTCCTCAATAGCCTCTGATGTGGAACTCTATGGAAAGCCTTACTGAAGTCCATATACACAATATCATATTCATTACCATGATCTACCTCCTCAAACACCTTAGTGAAAAAAATTAGTAAA